ATTCTAAGTGAACAACAAAAAATTGTGCGCCCTTTAAGGCTGACCCAATCAAACACCAAATTTATGTCAATAGATGGTGCCTTGTCTAGCGGAACCAAATGGATAATATTTGCGTGCTCGAACAGGAGAATGCACATATCTCTTTTTTTTTAATAATAAATATTTCTTGTTTAAACTTTATATTCGGAATCATTCTATTTGTTAATCTTCATTTGAAGATTATTCCTATAAAAACTTATTCGAATTGGAAATCTTTTAGTCATCCAAATGTATGAAACAAATCGATGGTATGAGTACCATGTACCATATTCATGATGAATCGTTAATTTAATTGATACATTTGAATGACTAAACAATCTGCAATTCGAATAATGTTTGATACGGATGACCTTCAAATGTAGAGTAAGAAGCTAAACTGTTTCGATTATAGAGTTTATAGAATGAAAATATGTTATTTGCAAAAGGTAAGATATGTGCGTTCCCCCTTAAGGATCACAAATATTATTCAAACAAAATTATTTGACCCATATGATGTGGTGGCTGACCTAGACATACCACACCACTTAGGAAATCAACTTATTTGTTTTTATTCTTTATTCTTTTTATAATTCAAATCAATTTTTCTAAGACAAATTCAAGTCTCTAAATCATCTGATGTGGCAGCACACTGCCTTAGCCAACTTACATGCTTTACATTTGACTTTTGATATTTGGTGGGATTAAGCCAAAATGATCATTGAGATTAGTATAACTCCATATTTTGGTCCCTAAGATTTAAAATAGATAGAAGTGATCCATAAGTTCGTTTATCATCAATTATTTTGACCATTATATGAAAAATCTCCATTATATAAGGATAAAATAACAAAAATACCCACAATTTTGAAAATCTTTTGGAAAATTGTTTATTAAATTGAGGGTATTTTTATCATTTTGGTCCTTATTTACTAAAATCTATCATGAAATGACCAAAATGATTTATAATAGACAAACCTAGGGATCACTTCTATTGAACTGAAATCTTAAAAATCAAGATGAGAAGTTATGTCAATCTCAAAGACTATTTTGACAAAAAAAAAAAAAAAAAAACCTAATTGGTGATGATGCTTTGATTTGATAATATACAGACAAATTAACTAGTGGGAACCCACAAATAGTCTGTACAAAAAACAGTCCATGACGAAAAACGGTTGAGTGTATGAGGTGAGAGCACACCAAATGTCTTATCATATCCAGCAAGGTCTGTAGTTCCCATGTCCATGTGCTCATTGCTTTTATTGGTCGCCACTAGCCGTGGCAAAAAAGGAAGGCAAAGAAATTATAGCAAATTAAAATTGAAGTTTCAGATTCTATGGATCTGGTTAAAACTGAAGAACGTCACATGCTACACTGATTCCTATAAATTCATCTACCACATTGCTCTTCTACAAAACAAATAATCACAATATATTGGTTCTTTTTTTTCTTTCTCAATCTTTACCAATTGTTTCAGTTTTTTTTTTTTTTTTTTTTTTACAGAGAAAATGGCACAGTTCGGAACAATTCCAGTAAAAGTTCTTGTTGTTATGGTTGCTGCATTGCTTTATGCTACCAAAACTATGGCAGGCGATTCAGCTACTGCACCTTCACCGTTATTGGAGACTGGAGCGGGATTTGCTTCGCCGGTTAGCATGGCTTTGATCTTTTCTTCTGTGTTGGTCTCTCTCACTGCGTTCGTGTTTTGTTAGCGTGAATGGATGTATATGGAGATTTGAGTTTGGGAAATGCAATGGAGCTGTTGGTTATGTATGGACATTGTTGGGTTTGACATTTGCCTCATATTATGTCTTCTGGAATGTTATATTTTGCTTGATGTATATTTTACGAAGTGCGGTTTTGAGTTTTGAGACATAAGAGACTCTATCCTACTTTGAGTATTTTATTGTTAATTGGTAATGTACCACATAAAATCTTTGTTAATTTGAATGATATTGTACAATTCTATATATCTTTATATGACTTGCTTATTATTTGTCAATTTGAATAATTGGTTATACATTTGTGTTTAAATGAACATTTGAACATGCATAACTTGTATAGCAAGAAATAGACTATCTTATTTTAAGAGTTAGTAGGGATAACTATCTAAAATGTAGAGGTGACTTTAAATTGGTCACAACCTAACGGTAGTGAAAATTAGACTTCTGTTACCAACGTTAAGTGATGAAACGTCGAACAAATACATTGAAGGGGATTTTTCGATTTTCATTGTCATGTCATCTATTGAGCTATGAATCCCTAAACCTACTCTTTTAGCCATGTGAATTTATAGTCTAACTTGGCTAAAATGCGTCAATTTGGAGATAGAGAACTCTATATATAATTGATATGATACTGAAAATTATCTAAGCACACACTTTAATGAATTTGTCCACACCATTACTTAACATTGCTAATGTTGTTACGTAATGTTGATGACCTAACATGTGTCCAACTTTAGATTGGTTTTTAATATGTTTTTTAAAAGTAGAAAGACCAATTTAAAATCATCCCAAAATGTAGTTATCTTTACCTAACTCTTATTTTAATTTTGTACTTAAAAAGTCTCTTATCACACTACTGAGAAACCAAATTCTCCAATCAACAAATCATATGGTAATTCTGTTTGATTGGAGAAAAAGAGAGCTTCTCATTAAAGAGGGCCTAATTAATTCTCATTATTAAGGGCATATTACTTTTGTTGATGCACAAAACCGGAGGTCTTGGAACAACGTAAATCCGACCGTGAATCTGCATGAAAGTAAATAACACAAGAAGTATCGTGGTTCACCCCAAGGTTTGGGCAACGTCCACACTGATATTGTATTTCTGAGGGGGAGAGAGAGAGAGCCTCTGTAATGAATCTGAGAGGCTCTGAGAGTGAGAGTTTGAGGGGGAGAGGAGCCTTAGGAATTGGCCTCCCCTAATTGTGAGGGTGAGGATCCTTTTATAGAATAAGGGCTCCTCACTTATTACATATTTGCCCCTTCCCTTATTACATAATTACATTTGAGTCATCCGAGTATTTATACGAGATCTAAATACGGAGGCCCTAAATATGGTATAAACAGTAGTCCCCCAAGTCTTCAGTCAAGAGAGTCTTTTGGCTGGAGACTTGAAATTCAGTCCATGTGTGGGCCGAAGTAACTAGATGTTGTCTTGAACTGATGCTTAATATGAGACGGTGCTCAATTTGAAATGTTGCTCAACTAGAAGTAGCACATGCTGCGAGGCTGCGAGGCTCGTGGCTTATGTTGCCTTGGTTGGCTCGGCTTGTGGCGTTGAAGGTGAGGGAGTCCCTTTTATAGAATAAGGGTTCGCTCCTCAATACATGAATGATGGGCCAAAGTTGATGCTCTCTAATGATGGTGAGGGAGTCCCTTTTAAAGACTAAGGGCTCGTTCCTCAATACATACATGATAGGCTAGAGTCCCCCAAGTATTTTTCATGAGGCCCAGTTGAGGCCCAATATATGGTATATAATGTAGTCCCCCAAGTCTTCGGTCAATAGAGTCTGTTGGCTGGAGACTTCAAATTGAATCCATGTATGGGTCGAAGTGGCGGTTGTTCGGAGGCGGTATTTGTATACCCTGCACTGAAGCTTTGTAAGTGAAGCTTTGCAGTTGGAGCTCTGTAAATGAAGCTTTTGAGGCTAGAGCTTTTGTAAATGAAGCTTTTGAAGCTGTAGCTCTTTAAATGAAGCTTTTGAAGCTAGAGCTCTGTAAATGAAGCTTTTGAAGCTGATTGACATGAGTGATGCTCATGAATGTTTATGTTGATTGACATGAGTGATGCTCATGAATGTTAACATGAGTGATGCTCATGAATGTTGACATGAATGATGGTCATGAATGTTTATGTATGATTGTTATGAGTGATGCTCATGAATGTTTATGTATGAATGACATGAGTAATGCTCATGTATAATTTGGAGTATTGAGCGTACTTTTGATCACCTGATTGGTGGCATGAAGAAGAGTACGGGTTGTACATTTCATCACCTAGTTGGTGGCATGAATGGCTAGTTGCCAAATGATATTAGAGTACGGGTTGTACATTTCATCACCTGGTTGGTGGTAATAGCGGCAGGTTGCCGAATAATTTTGGAGTACTGGGCGTACTTTTGATCACCTGGTTGGTGGTAATAGTGGCAGGTTGCCAAATAATTGTGGAGTACTGGGCGTACTTTTGATCATTTGGTTGGTGGTAATAGCGGCAGATTGTCGAATAATTGTGGAGTACTGGGCGTACTTTTGATCGCCTGGTTAGGGCTATTTTTGGGCTTATGGGCCTTCGCCCTCTACACAACATTCCAGCTCATTTATTTTAGGCTTTGCCGGTTTTTTTTTTAATTTTTAATTTTATTTTTATTACCCTCTGATGGGGTTAATACAGATGTCTGGGAAAGGTAAAAATAAATAAATTACATCATTCAAAACAAAGGTTTCGACACAAAAGCTTCGACAGTTGCAGATGGTTGGTGCGTTGCTTTTGCTTTTGTTTTCTGCTTTGCTTTTGCTTTCTTCTTTTCTTTAAAATGACAGCTGTTATGGACAGCTTTTCCGACATCGCCCATTTGCTTTTCTCTGGCTTTCAAAAAATAGGAACATGCATCCGTCGACAAAACCAAAAGTATAATCCTTTCCTTTCTCTTTTATCTTTTGCTTTTGTTTCTGTTTCTCACTTTTCTCTTTTCTTTTTATTTTCTCGATCTGCTCAGTGCTCCCTCCGTTGAACTTTGCACTTTACGAGTAGATTGCCATGAACCATCAGATTACACCCATCACAGAAGATAATTGGATCTGATGGATCTCTATCTGGGCTCAGCACAAACAATCCCATCATCAGCATTATTTTCTTCTTCTTCATTGCACTACCCATCGGATCTTGAAGCTTTTGGAGCTGCTCCACGCCTTTGTGTGTGTGTCGTGAATGTATAGGAGAATTGATGATGCCCAAAATCAAATCATGCAGGTTCCTCAGCCACAAATCATGCTTCAAACTACACAACCAGGATTCCAGTCCCGAAGCTCCGAGCAGATCACCTCTCCGACGCCAAAATCGAAGGGATCGTCGAGTCGTCGAATAGCCGAAGTCTTGTGCATTATCCCGGTGATTAAAGATGAAGCTTTTGAAGAATAAGGGACTAAACATGCCTGCTTTCCGTAGAGTAGACCCCGTGTTTCATGTTCTTTGTGATTGCGCTGGTCTACTGCAAACTGGGCGAGTGTGATGATCCAGTCATCCTTGTGGGCACCCATGTAAATGCTAGTGCCACCATATGGTGGTGGTGCACCAAACTGCAGATCTTCCATCGAATAACGCAATCTTCCTCCGCCCTCGCCATCAGCACGATCATCATCGTCGTCGGACAATCTAGGCCGTTTATCTAAATCTGCATGTTGTGGCGGCGTGTGATGGGTGAACCAGCTGAGCAGAGACCGAGAGAGAGAGATTTGGTTTCTCAGCTGCTTCTCACTCCTGTGAGCTTGTAGAGAAAGGGAGAGAAAGATCTGGTCTTGATGCATCCTGTGAGCTTCTCATCTGCTTCAACATCGTAAGTTTCAATTTCAACAAGAATGGAGCCACCGCGCTCGCCGGGGAGTTGATCGAGTAGGGACCAGTCAATGTGGGTAACATAGTTGACGAGGGCGGAAGCCTGAGTGTTGTCACAGGCAAATTACCGAGATGAGTATCGCAAACGGGACATTGGTCATACTCCTCATCCGACAGTTTTTGGAAGATACACTGCATGCAAAACGTATGGAGGCAAAGTGAAATGGTTATAGCCTCCTCCGACACCTTATTACAAAGACCGCACTTCAAACATGCCTCGATTGTCACCCTCTTCACTTTCACCACCTGACTACCACCACCAGTCGCCATCTCTTCCTCATCTCCTCCTTAATCCTTATTATCTTAGAAAGACAATGCTTTTTTTGTTGTGTCTTTGTGCTTGCAACAACTGCGGACCAAGAGAGAGAGAGAGAGGGAGTGAAGGAGCCGTTGGGTTTTCTGGAAAAAATCCAAAAGTGAGGTTTTGGACTCTTGGGTTTTGCAGATTCATGGCCGAGGTGAAAAATTGGGAGAGAACCGACATAACTTTTCGTGTCGATTCCCACAAACGGCGCCAAATGTTGATGCACAAAACCGGAGGTCTTGGAACAACGTGAATCCGACCGTGAATCTGCATGAAAGTAAATAACACAAGATGTATCGTGGTTCACCCCAAGGTTTGGGCTACGTCCACACTGATATTGTATTTCTGAGGGGGAGAGAGAGCCTCTGTAATGAATCTGAGAGGCTCTGAGAGTGAGAGCTTGAGGGGGTGAAGAGCCTTAGGAATTGGCCTTCCCTAATTGTGAGGGTGAGGAGTCATTTTATAGAATAAGGGCTCCTCACTTATTACACATTTGCCCCTTCTTTTATTACATAATTACATTTGAGTCCTCCGAGTATTTATACGAGATTTAAATACGAATGCCCTAAATATGGTATAAACAACTTTGTTGCTCAAGGACTTGGGACAAGGATCCCATTTAGTTACTAAAAGAAGTTGAACCCACTTTGCATTGTTTTACGAATAATCCTTGGGGTTAACACATGTTTTATTTTGTTTTAAAAATTAATAGACATGTTATTTAATTTCTTAAGGCTTTAAAAAAATAAGGAACATATGATGTGACATATTTTGATTGAGTCAAATCAAAAAGTGAGTATATGAACACCAACGTACTGTCCATATTCAAACAACCGTCTATTTTATAATTCTTTATTGATAGATTATTTCTACACAAAATATTTCAATTGGAAACAATTACATAATTATAGTTGGTAAACCCACACACAATCCTATTTCCTCACCCCATCTTATATTCTCACCCCTCGTAAAAGCATTATTTTTCTACCCACAAATATCCCTAAAATATCCTTGCATCAATTTAACTATTTTCCAAAAATTTAAAGTTAAAGCTGAAAATAACAAATCACCCCACCCAACTATACCACCAGATCCCCACATCGCCCCACACAATTTGATAGCAAACCCCTTTCACCATGCGTCTTGAACCCACCCTTGAGCACCTTTTGCTTGTTGAGGGCTTCAGGTGTGACGCCGCGCTCTGTTGTCAGTGTAGGAGACTACGAAAAAATAGTCTCATCTTCGGTCTTCCCCCTCATCGCATTAATATCGACGAAGAATCTGTTGGATTTCCAAAACGCTTTTCCCTGACAAATTTCAATGACGTCATTTGGATTCAAAACAAAAGAAGTTCGGAAACGAGTTTTTAAAATTTTGATCGGAAATGATTCAGAGGAAATGTGTTTCCTAAAATTGATGGTTGGGCTCTTCCCTTTTCTTCTTATTTTTATTCTCATTTTTTTTTGTTTTGTCTTCTTCCAATTTGAAGAAAGTCACGTTCTTTAGTTTTTTTTTTTTTTTTTTTTTTTTTTTTTTTTTTTTTGCCATAAAAATATATTAGGATAGATTTTAGGGTTTTTTTTTATCACAAGTAATCCTTGAAATTGACCCATACCATTAAGATGGTTCCTAAAAATAAAAATCAATTAATATAGTCATTGAATATGAGTGCTGCAAATCAATATGGTCATTCCATTATATTTCTGTCAAAATTTCTGTTAGTATGCTGATTTGGCATATATGTGGACCCACAAGTCAATTAAATATTACCACATGGATAAATTATTAAAATTTTTATAAAAAATTAATTTAAAATCATTTAAAACTAATTTCAAAATGATTAAATAAGAAAATTAAAAGTTGTTGAACAAAAACAATTAAAGTTGCCCACTTAAAGCTACATCTACTTTCACGATGAAGAAGACTCAATTTGTGCAAGGAGACAAAGCCATAGGTAGGCTAGAGGCAGAGGAGATCATCCGGAATTACTGAGCCGAGGACGTTATCCAAGCTTGTCTCAAACATTCTTCGTTCTTAGGTTGTCTCGCTGTCTCAAGATTGAGATCGGGGGTTGCGATGGGGGACTGGTGGTTGTGCCTGGCTTGGTGTCGATCGGAGGTTGGGATGAGTTGGCGGCTGGGTTGAAGGGAAGGGGGTTGAGGTGGGTTGGTGCGGCTAGGGTGAGGAAGGAAGAAGTTGACGATTCAACGGTGAGGGGGAAGGATTGACAACAACGATATCAGGGTGGGGTGCGGGTGGGGAAGATGGTGGCTTGGGGTAGCAAATTAAGAAACCCAGGTCTGTGGTGTGAGTAGAGAAGGGTAGTCATGGTCGCCATGTTTGAAGAAGAAAATGGGGATTGTAGTCGATGAGGATTGAGAATTAAAGCTGCATCTAGTTGTTTAATTTAATTAGATGAAGATTGAGGATTAAACCTGCGTCTAATTGTTTTTGTTCAATAGCTTTTAATTCTTAATTTAATCATTTTGAATTTAATTTTAATGATTTTAAAATAGTTTTTATAAAGCTTTTAATAATTTATCCATATGACAATATGTAATGGGGTGTGATATCCACACACCCCATTTTACTTCACATACACCTTTTTAATTTTCGGCCGTCGGATCAGATGAATTGAAGAAGATCAATGGACAGAAATTATCAAGGGTGTGTGAGAAGTAAAATGGGGTGTGTGGATAGCACACCCCTATGTAATAGACTTGTGGGTCCACATATGTGTCAAATCAGCATACTAACAGAAATTTTGACAGACTTCTAACAGAAGGATCACATTATTTTGCAACACCTATATTCAGGGATTACATTGATTGATTTTCATTTTTAGGACTATCTTGATGGTATGAGTCAATTTCAGAGACTACTTGTGTTTTTTTACACAAGATGATGAAATGTGTCATTAAATTTTTTTCATTAAAAAGAAGGTTGGAAAATAGCATTGTGGGGTGGGTCTAGCAGTTCTCTACCTAATTTATTCTCATCATGAAATTTTCTATTGTCAAATTATGTCTTCACCATTTCCAACTTGGTTAATAGAATTTGCAAGAATTATGCGATATTTCTGTTTCAATGGGCTTGACGTTGAAGACATTATTTACTAAACAATTTAGTAAATAAAAGTATTTACTTTCATTTATGGTGGTGGGGGTGATGGCAGTGGCGGCGGTGGTGGCGGTGGCGGCGGCGGCATGATGGTGGAGGGCTGGTGGGAATGATGGTTGTGTTGGTGGCATAGTGGGGGGGGGGGGGGTGTGACAGTGATGGTGACAATAGTGGGGTGCTGAGATAGCAATAGTGGTGGCGGAAAATCAAAATAGTAGCGAGGTTGTTGGTGCCAACTTGGATAGTAGCGGTGGTGGTGGTGGTGGTGGAAGAACTAGGTGAGTTAAAATGTTATCTTAATATAAGTTAATTTGTTACCAATAAAGCATGCGGTGACATTTTTTTCTCTACCTCCAACGGAAAACATGAAAATTAAAATAATTATTAAAGGGATTCTTAAATTCTAAGATTTGTACGAATAAAAAAAAAGAAAGAATAGGATTTAGTAAAATCGAATGCGTGACCTTGGTACAATGGTGAATAGTGAATGTTTGCACTACAAAAATCTGCATGGTAAATTCCAATCTTTTGAGGAAAATAATCGGCAAAAATGACCAAAATCGGTAGGTTTTTCTTCATCACAAAAAAGACACGTGTGAATATTGCATACGGCGCCGTCCGCCACCGACCAAATAATACAAGCTGTCGTCGTTGGTAGGTCACTATACACAAACCTGCGCTGTTGATTAGCCGTTGCCATGCACTCGCTATATAAACAATCACTCCCCCAATTCTCACAACACAAAGTAAAAGCCTCCTCCACACTCAAAAAACTCTCCACCAACTCCATTTAGCAGCAGCTCAAAAGCTCCAGTTCAAGTCACCAATGGCGCAAGTAAGCATCTCCAGTGCCTTCTTCTTCGTCCTTGTAGCCTTGGCTGCAGCAACCGTCTCTGCTCAGGAGAGCGCCCCGGCGCCTGCCCCGATGGATGCTGGAGCAGCTTACTCTTTGCCTGTAAACGGTGCCGTCGTAGGAGCATCACTTATGGTCTCAGTTTTTGCCTTGTTCAAGCACTACTTGAATTAATTTGTTCCGATTGGAAATTTGTTATTTCATAATTTGGGCGGAAAATGATTTGTATGTGGGGTTTCCTTGAGGGATTATTTTTGTTAGATCTTTGATTCACTACATTCTAATAAAAATGACGATTATTATTTTTGTCGAATCTATAATTGTCAATCATTTTGTTATACTGTTTGTTGCACAAATCATTACCAAATGTTATTTAAACTATCAATTATTTTCTTGTTAAAATAAAAAAAAATATAAAGGAAAAGTTGCACAGATACCACCAAGACTATATAGAGGTGTGTGTAAATACCATTCAAAGAAATAATTTTAACAACGTAGCACCTAGACTTTCAGACGTTCTACTATAAATCTACCGCTTTCGTCCAATTCTGTCAACTTTTTGGTTAAATGTTACTAAGTAAATCCCTCAAGTGCAAGATTCACAAAAGATTATTGGAAAAGTATGAACCATCTATCCTTTAAGTATAAGGGTCTAAAATCGTAAGCCAGATACTACTTTTAAAGCATTGAGATATATAGCAATTAAATTATACCAAAATTGAACAAATTAGTTAACTCTCCAGAGACCAAATCCATTTGAGCATGGAAAGGTAAAAATTCATGATGCTTATAGAATATAAGATATAAATGGCAGGTCCTTTGAAGGAAGAGATCTCCATTTTTTTTTTCAAAAAATGAAGATTAGTTGTGGGACCTACTTTACATTGAACTTCAACCATTCGAACCGTTTATTTTGTAAGCCTTAATTTATAGATCATCCTTGCAAAAATTCAGTTCAATCTGAAACCATTTGCCTATTCAATTATCACAAAGAAATTTCATTGTTTCTTATAGAATAAAATGTTCGTCAATTTCTTTGAACTCAATTAGATGTCTCAAATATTTCAAATTTGGCTAATATTTTTGGTTTAGGATGATCTAAGAGGTACAACTTGAAAAGTAGACGATTTGGATTGTTGAAGTTCGATGTAGTGTGGGTATCATAAC